GGGGGGGGGGGAGCCTTGCCCAGGAATACCACGAAGCAGTGAAGCAGTACTGTGTTCTGTATGCTGATAGGGAAAGAACTCCAAGATCCACTCTTCTTCCATCAAAGGTTTTTACAGCCAAATGTTAGACATGTCCCAAAGTAGAGAGGCTGGAATGTCTCCCTTCGCATTCCCTCACATCACTCTGATTGGACGATGTTACCTTTCTTGGTTCACCTGGCTCTTTTTCCTTGCAATCTCTCTCTCTCTCCCTCCCCGCTCCTCTCTCTTTTTTTTTACTTAAGCCTTCTGAAGTAAATCCACTACATTATGTAATCTCACCCCAGCATGCTTCAGCGTGCCTCTCGGGAGATTGTGAATATTAGACTTCACTATAACGCCATTATCATGTCTGATAAAAATCAACAATTCCTAGGTATCTTAGATGCAGTCTTAAAAAAAAAGCAAAACAAGATGCAGACTAGTGTGTGCATTATGCTACCATTTACATAAAAAAGGAAACATCTGAATATGTATTTTTATTTCCTTCTAGCATATAAAACTTCTGTGGAAGGATACACAAGAAACTAAAACTAGTGGCTGTCTGAAGGAAGAAGTAGGTGGCTGGGGTCCAGGGTGAAACGGAGACTTTCCACTGTGTACCCTTTGATATACGTTCATTTGTGAACCATGTGAATGCATTACCTGTGCCAAAAACAGAACAGATCTGTATTATGATAAACTGTCTTTCTTTTTTTTGTATTCAGTGAAAACTGTTGGCTAGAGACACTCTACCAATGGATTTTTCTAATACCCTTTCCGTGACTTTTTCCCAAACCTTACAACAAAATGAAGAAAGCCGAAGTGGAGCTGTAAAACCAACACATACTCATAAACGAGGTATCTACACTGGCATTTATCTACACTGGTTTGCTATAGATAGGGCCCTTAACCACTTGATGGTTTATCCTGTATCTAGAGGGAAACATAAGCCAGACTCCTATCCTACAGTCCGGTTGTATCTAAATTCATGCATTTTAGGGGTACCTGGGTGGTTCAGTCGGTTAAGCATCCAACTCTTGGTTTCAGCTCAGGTCATGATCTTACGGTTCGTTGAGATCGAACCCACATCGGGCTCTGCACTGTCAGCTTGGAGCCTGCTTGGGATCCCCACCCCCTTCTCAAAATAAAGTAAAAAAATAAAATAAAATAAAGTCATGCATTTTAGAAATAAAATAAAAAATAAAATGAAATTGTATTTTCTCAAATTCTGAGTATTAAAAATAGAAGTACTACATAAACGCAGGGTGAATTCAAACTTCCAAAGCTACATATGGTATAACGTTTCAAAATTCAAACAGTATACTTTTTTGTTGGCAGAATTTCTAAACAGAGAACTGCCACTAATTCTGGTCCAAAGACCATTCTGTACAACAGGCTCTATATCTCCTGATTCCTTACCAAATCGATACTATACAAATTCAAAGCAGGGTTTATATAAAGCTCTCAACTGCAGGGTAGAGCCGGGCATTATGAGTTCTAATTCTTTTGATCATTCTTCGCAATATTTATCATATCGTGGAGCTGCTGACAATGTTGACCATTCAACATATGTCACTGGCCATTTAAAGAAATACTATAGGGGCGCCTGGGTGGCGCAGTCGGTTAAGCGTCCGACTTCAGCCAGGTCACGATCTCGCGGTCTGTGAGTTCGAGCCCCGCGTCGGGCTCTGGGCTGATGGCTCAGAGCCTGGAGCCTGTTTCCGATTCTGTGTCTCCCTCTCTCTCTGCCCCTCGCCCGTTCATGCTCTGTCTCTCTCTGTCCCAAAAATAAATAAACGTTGAAAAAAAAATTAAAAAAAAAAAAAAAAAAAGAAATACTATACATACACTAAAAATTAAAATAAATGGCAACTTGTCAAGGACCCTACTCATGATGTGCAGGACGGATCTGAAAGGGGAGACTGAGGGAGGGAGACCAATTAAAAGGCCATTTCCAGAAAAGTAACTCCAGGGTATAGACTCTTCATTAAAATTATTGATTCCCTCCAAGTTATTTAACAAGTGCTTACATTGGTAAATGAAAATGCATTGATATATGCAATCTAAAATTTTTGTTAATGTTTATTTTTGAGAGACAGAGAGACAGAGTGTGAGCAGGCAAGGGGTAGGGAGAGGTGGAGACACAGAATCCGAAGCAGGCTCCAGGCTTCAAGCTGTCAGCACAGAGCCTGACACGGGGCTCGAACTCATGAACTGCGAGATCATGACCTGAGCAGAAGTCAGATGCTTCACCGACTGAGCCACCCAGGTGCCCCCGGTATGTGCAATCTAAAGAAATAAATGTTTTGTTTCCCTTGAAATACACATATTCAAAATAGTAGATGAAATTGAAATAGCTCTACTTAAACTTTATATTAAACAGTCTGTAACAAATTGTGTACTTCATACCTCCTGCCTTTTTCTTGTTCATCTTTGAAAAAGCTGGTGCCTCGAATTTTGTAATTTAATGTGGGACGGGATTGGGTGGAGTAGAATTAACTTTAGACTGTCCACAATAAAATGGCTTGTTATGTTAACTGAAGATAACATTCTTATACTTACTGATTTTTTAGTTTTTCTGCTGTGCGTATAAACTCCGCTTTTTTTGTCCGATTAACTTTCTGCTTCCAGTTTTGAAGCTGAAAAGGACGAATCCCACCTGAAGTACCAAGACAGCTATCGTTCTACGTGGAGAACAAAACCAAATTTAGGGTAAGAGGTGAAGGCAGAGTTTCTTTCAGAGACATAACGTCAATAATGAAGTTTCTCTCAGGGGATAACTTGGGGGCTGATCTTATTTAATTTTTAGAAATATATTTTGTGGAAGAAGGAATATCTTACCTTAAAATGCTGAATTACTGAGTAGCAAATGTTAAGTCTCCAGGGATTCCTACAGAAAGATCTAATTCTTCCATTCAGCCATTTAGCAATATATATTGAACACTTAACGATGTGACCAGTGGTGCACGAGACACCAGGGAAACAATGATGACCCACATGAATATGGCCCCAGCCTTAAAGTCTAGTGAGGGAAACAAATTTAAAAAGAAAAGAGTAAACAAGCAATAATTAAAAAAAAAAAAATCACCAATTGCAATTAAGTGCTACTAAGGAAATAAAAAGTACTGAGATAGAGATAATGGGTCAAAAGGTTGTTTTTTCAGTTAGAATTAGAATGGCCACAGAAGTTCTATTTGGGGGGATGACATTGAAGACTGGAATCAGCCAGTAGGGAAAGAGGTCCCAGGGCGAGGCCCAGAATGTGAAAAAGCCCCAGGGCAAGAAAAGACCTCGGCTGGTTTCAGCAGAGAAAGGGCAACATGATATCAGAAAAGATGGAGAGCTTGGTACAAGATGAAGGTAGACGGGCAGGTATATCACATTGGCATTTTAAGTGACTTGGTGGGGGTGGGGGGGGGATTCTGGAGTTTACTGGAGGGTTTTGAGCAGGAGAATACCATGATACATTTAATTTTTTAAGAAACTCTTTCTGGCCATTTTTGGAGAATAAACTGGTGGGAGGTGGGGGTGGAGGTAAAGCAAGACTGGAAGCAGAAGGATCGAGGTGGTAGCTGGTGCAGCAATACAGATGAGGAACCGCGGTGTCTAGGACCACTGGGGTGGCGGATATAAAAGGAAGAAAACTAAATACATTTTGGGTCTATAAACAAGAGGAATTGCTGACAGATTGATGTAGGAGATGAGAGAGAAAGGAAACAAGCCTTTACATTTCTAGCAGCAGACAAAACAAAAGTAAAGAATTTAGGAAATATTTTTTTCGTGGAGATATAGTTCAAATTACCATACAGTGTACAGATCTAAAGTGTACAATTCAGGGTTTTTAGTATATTCACAAATGTGTGCAAACATCACTACTATCTAAGTGCAGAAAATTTCCATCATACCAAAAAGAAACCCCATACCCGTTAGGAGTCACTGCCCACCTGCCTTCCCCACAAGCCCCTGGCCACCATTCAATCTATTTTTGACTCCATGGATTTGTCTGTTCTGGACAATTAATATAAATGGGATCATACAATGTGCAACCTCTCGTGTCTGGCTTCTTTCACACAGCATCTTTTCAATATTTACCCACACTGTACCATATATCTGTACTGTATTCCTTTTTATGGCTGAATAATATTCTATTATATGGATCTACCATATTTTGTTTATCTACTCATCAGTTGATGGGTAACGGGCTACTTCCACTATTTGGCCAACATGAATAATGCTACTATGAACATTTGTATACAAGTTTTAGTATGAATATGTTTCAACTCTCCTGGGCATACACCTTGCAAGGGAATTTTTGGATCATATGGTAACTCTATGTTTTACTTTCTCATTTTAAAAATTGGATTGTCTTTTCATTGTTGAGTTGGAAACATTCTTTATATATTCTGGATATATCCTTATCAGATAAAAGACTTGCACATTTTCCCCCCATTTTCTTGATAACATCCTTCAAAGCACAAATGCTGTCAATTTTGATAATGTATTTGCTTGTGTATTCAATATCATATAGAAGAAACAATCAAAGGTCATGAAGACTCACACCTACACCTTTTTAAAGAGTTGTATAGTTTTATCTCTTAACATTTCAGTCTCCATCTATTTTGAGTTAATTTTTGCATATGGTGTATGTGGATATCCAGTTGTCCCAACACCACTTGCTGAAAAACATCTTCTTTCCTTATTGAATTATCTTGACACCCTTGTTGAAAATCAATTGCCCATGAACATAGAGTTTACCTCTTAACTCTTTTTGATCTGTATGACTTCTCTTTCTGTTGATTACTGAAGCTTCATAATAAGTTTTGAAATCAAAAGTAGGGAGTCCTCCAAATTTGTTCTTCAAGACTGTCTTGGCTATTTTGCATCCCTTGCATTTCCCATATGAATTTTAGGATCAGTTTATCAACTTATGCATAAAAAGGCAACAGAGATTTTCATAGGAATTGCACTGACTGTGTAAATCAATCTGGGGAGTATTGCCATTTTAACAATATTGAGTCTTCATATTCATGAACCTGAAATGGCCAAGGATGTAGGTCTTCCTTACTTTCTTTCAACGATGTTTTTCAGTTTTCAGAGTATAAGTTTTGCACTTCTTTTGTTAAATTCATTCCTATGTATTTTCTTCTTGTGATACTACTGTAAATGGAATTATTTTCTTACTTGCATTTTTGAACTGTCCATTGCTAGCATATAGAATTACAACTGATTTTTGTTGACTGCTTTTTAATCCTTCAATCTTGCTGAATTTGTTTATTTGCTCTAGTAGTCTTTACATGAATTCTTTAAAAATTTTTATATACAAAATCATGTCACCTGCAAATACGAATAGTTTCACATCTTCCTTTCCAGTTTGTTTTTCTTGCCTAATTGCCCTTGCTAGAATCTCCAGTGAATTAGTGGTGAGAATGTACATTCTTGTCTTGTTCCTGATCTTATGGGGGAGGCTTTTAATACTTTGTCATTAAGTATTATGTGAGCTGTGGGCATTTTATAGATGCCTTACCAGATTGAGGAGTTCCCTTTTATTGCTAGTTTGTTGAATATTTTTTATCATGAAAAAGTGTCAGATCTTGTCAGTTGCTCTTTCTAAATCTACTGAAATGATCATGTGGCTTGTCCTTTATTCTATTAATATACTCTATCACACTGATTGATTTTTATATGTTGAACCAACCTTGCAAGTCTGGAACAAATCTCATTTGACCATGGTGCATAATCCTTTTGTATGTTGTTAGATTTAGGTCGATAATATTTTGTTGGGGAATTCACATCTGTATTAAGAAATACTAGTCTGTTATTTTCTTCCTTGTAATGTCTTTGCCTGATTGTGTATCAGGGTAATCATAATGGTCCCACACAATGAGTTGAAAAATGGTCTCTCCTGTATTTTCTGAAAAAAGTTTGTTACAAACAAAAAAATGTTTATATTGACTTCTATATTTACCTCTCCACTTACTTCACCAGTACTCTTTATTCATAATCTTCCTCAAGTAGATTTGAATTTCTATGTAGTCTTTTTATTTCAGTCTGAAAGACTTCCTTTAATATTTCTTGTAAGGCATATATGCTGGAAATGAAGTCTGTTAGTTTGTTTATCTGGGAATGTCTCAATTTCTCCATTTTAGAGAATACTTTTGGTGGACATAGATTTCTTGACTGATAGTCCTTTTCTTTCAGCACTTTGCATCATGCTACTGCCTTCTGGAATCCAAGGTTTCTGATGAGAAGTCAGCTGTTAATCTTATTGAAGATTCCTTGTATGTGTTCAGTTGCTTCTCCTTTGGTGCTTTCAAGATTTTTTTCTTTTCGTCTGTGTTTTTCAACAGTTTGATTATGATGTGTCTAGGTATGATCTCTTTGATTATTTCATTATGTACTCAGAGTTCATCAAGCTCTAAAATATGTAGAATATTTTTCATCAAATTTGGGGAGTTTTCAGCCATTATTTCTTCAAATATTCTGCCCCTCCCCATTTCTCTCTTCTCCTTCTGAGACTCTCAGTCCAACCTTCATGGTGTTTCACGGGGCTCTGAAGCTCTTTCACTTTTCTTCTTTTTTCCTTCTGTTCCTTAGTCTGGATAATCTGAATTGACCTATCTTCACATTTCCTCTTTCTTCTGCCAGTTCAAATATGATGTTCAGCCCCTTCGGTGAACTTTTCATTTGAGCTCTTATACTTTTTAACTCCAGAATTTCTATTTAATTTTTTTAAACAATTTAAATCTCTTTACAGGTATTTTTAATTTGGTGAGATATCATCCTCATACTTTCTTTTAGTTCTATAGCCATGGTTTCCTTTAGTTTTTTGAACAATTTAAAACTGCTTATTTAATTAACAGAAAACCATGGGGAAAGGGAAGAGGGAAAAAAGTTACAAACAGAGAGGGAGGGAGGCAAAC